AAAAAAAAAAAAAAAAAGGAAGTAGTCCTCTTTTATTTTATTTATTTATTTTATCTGTTGATTAGGGCCGGGAGGAAAGTATTGTCGGATTGGTTCCCTACCTGCGTTTTCCCTCCCCACCCACCCTTTGCATGCATTTCCGAGTTGATACAGTGCCACGTAAGCAACAGTGCCACGTCACAGTGCCACGTAAGCAACAGTGCCACGTCAGCAGTGCCACGTCAGTCACAGTGCCACGTCAGCATGACGGGTCCAGCAATGGGCCTGCCAGGCCAACTGGCCAATGAGCCCATTGCCAACTACAAAAAGCGCTTCCAGGCTCAGCTCGCTTTCATCGAGGCKGAGGAACAACGCCAGCTGGCAGCCGCGGCTGCCCGCCTACAGGCTGAAGAAGCGGCAACAGCAGAGAAGCTGCGACTACAGGCCGAAGCAGACGTAGATGCCCAGGCTCCCCGCAAGGAAGCCCAGGATCTGCTGCAGCGGCATGAAGCCAACAGCATCGAGAGACTCGAGTTCTGGCACTTTGAACCGAACGGCGACGACGCAACACCGGAAGAGCAGCGTAAGGAGTTTCTCTCCAAACTCGTGACACGGTTGTTGTGTGCTTGCAACTACCAACGGTCCGAGTTAGAGAAACAGAACCAGGAACTGCAGCAACAGTACCAGGATCTGAAGACACAGCACCAGGAGTTGGCGAACCTCCGCCGGATGGTGCAGAGCCACGAGGATGCAACACGGGCACCCAATTCCCGTGTACTGGACCTGGAACAGGCTGTACCAGGACCAAATGCCGGGGCTTCCAGCAGTGCACCCTCTAGCCGCCAACTGGAGGAACGCGTTGACCACATAGTGGCAATGCTCGGCGATATCAGCACCTTCGCGGCGCCGACCACCATCAGCAATCAGCTGGACACTTTGAAGACCGAATTCCAGCAACTGCAGTCGACGAACACGGATGGCAACAATCCTAAGCAATACAAGATGCCAATTTTTCAACTGGAGAAGTTCGACGACTACACGCATCAGGACCCGGTGCTCTGGTGGGAAGCTTTCACGACGCAACTGCGGATTCTGCCTGTCGCCAAGCACGCGTACATCGGCGCCCTGTTCATGAACTCAAAGGGCGGATGCGAGATCTGGTTGACTCACCTGGCAGCCACCCACAGCGTCGACGTCGCCGATCTGAAGGACAAGATCGCATGGGAAGAGTTAACACGGCTGTGGAAGAAGCGGTTCATCGTTGACGACGCGCCAGCACTTGCCATCAACCGTCTCTTCACCATGTCTCAGGGCAACACAGCAACACGTGACTGGCTCACGGAATGACAAAAGATCGCGGGCGTGCCCGATCTGGACTTACCATTCACGCATCTACGTCGTGAGTTCTACAACAGGTCATGCGCTGCGCTGAGCCAGGCACTTGGTGATCGCACGCAGTATGCAACTTTCGCCGAGATCATTGACAAGGCGAGAGAGATCATCAAGACCAACACGTCAGCTGCACACGAGAAGTCAACGTGGCAGCCAACCTATGTGGAGAAGGTGAGAACTGGTTCGCGACAGCAGCAGTTCGCTGCAGTCCAATCGGACACTGTGGAAGACCCAACAGCCACCCAAGCGTCACGTGAGGGAGATTAGGTGGCTGCTGTCCAGCCGCGAAGCAACATTAAGCCCCGAGTGAACAGGAATGCGAAATCAGCATCGCCGACCGGAAATGGACGACCTGCACCACCATGGGTCAAGTTCGGCTTGACCGAGGCCGAGTACAAGTACTGCAACCGTTACGGCTGCTGTTACTGGTGCAACAACACCAAGCACAAGACCTCCCTTTGCCAGGATCAGGCCAAGGAGGATGTGCGGCTTCGTCTTAACTCGGGAAACTGAGTTGCGTAGGAGGTGAGGCGACTCCACCTCTCACTCCGCCAGATTTGGCCGCCTTGCTAGCGGCCTCCTACACATCTGGGGAGGATGCGCATGTCGCAAGTCCTCGGTACACTTACGAGGATTATGCTGTCCACTTGGTCCCACCGCTGGACCAACCGCTCCACGTGCAACAMTCTACCGYATGCACGGTTTCATCACCATCGACAACCGATTCGACAGCTTCGCCGTCATCTACCGCCGGGGATTCAACGTCATGGTCAAGACTTGAAGAGCTCGACCCGTTGACTTTTGAGGACTTCCAATGGATGCCCCTGCCCCGGTCTGGTCGATTGCCGAAACCGCATTGCAACGTGCTCAAGGCACAATTGCGAGATTACTTGCACACTGCAGTACAGACTCTGTTGATGGACGCCAGAGTAGAGGTTGTCGACCTTCACGCCTACATTGCGAAGATCGACCGCGAGTTCAAGACGCAACGGTACGACGACATCGATGCACCATTGCTATATGTACGCATTCAGATTGGAGAGGCGACGTGCAGCGCTTTGATCGATTGCAGAGCATCTCGCAACTACATGAGTCAGGACTTCATGGTACGCGCAGGCCTTGGCCCACGAGTCCGAAGGAAGGCCCATCCCACGCAAGTCACGTTGGCAGACGGTCACACGCACAAGTCAATCGATCGGTGCATTGATGACGTCCCAGTGTACTTTGCCCCTCACGCAAGTGAGGCGGTGTCCTTTGACATTTTGGACACCAAATTCGACATGATCTTGGGCATGTCATGGCTGCGAAGCAAGGATCATCCGGTGAACTTCTACCGCCGCACCGTTCACGTTCGTGATCGGAACGGAGTAGTAGTCCCATGCACGGTAGCTCCTCCTCACCCTTCAGTCAGCTGTCACGTGGTATCCGCCGCAAGCATGCGAGCTTCCATCATCAGAGACGACATCGAGGAGATGGGGGTGTGTTTTCTCCACGCCCTCCCACCCCAAGACGCGTCATCGATGGACTCATCTTCGGATCCACACATCACCGAACTTCTGGACGCCTACAGCGACGTGTTCGAAGGCCCGCACGGAGTAGTACCGGATCGACCCATCCGCCATGAAATCATCCTCGAGGACGGGGCCGTACCTCCACGCGGTTGCATCTACCGAATGAGCGAGGAAGAGTTAAGTGTGCTTCGGGCACAACTCGACGACCTTCAGGAGAAAGGCCGGATTCGGCCTAGCTCATCGCCATACGATGCTATTGTTCTCTTCGTCCGGAAGAAGAACAAGGATTTGCGGTTGTGCATCGATTATCGCAAGCTCAACGCGCAGACGATCAGAAACGTCGGCCCTCTCCCACGCATCGACGATCTTTTGGAGCGACTGGGCGGAGCCAAGTTCTTCTCCAAGCTGGACCTTAAGTCGGGATATCACCAACTCGAGATTCGGAAGGAGGATCGCTACAAGACCGCGTTTAAGACGCGATATGGGCATTTCGAATGGCTGGTCATGCCATTTGGCCTTACGAATGCCCCGACCACTTTCCAAGCGGCTATGGCAACGGAGTTCCGACACATCCTGGATCGTTACGTACTTATCTACCTCGACGACATCCTGGTGTACAGCCGGAGTTTGGAGGAGCATGTGGAACACCTGCGCACCGTTTTGGAGCGGCTACGACAGGCCAAGTACAAAGCCAACCGCGACAAGTGCGAATTCGCACGGCAGGAGCTGGAGTACTTGGGACATTATGTGACGCCGCAAGGCATCCGTCCGCTTGCGGACAAGATCGAGGCCCTACGAGTATGGCCCGAGCCCACCAACACCACGGACGTTCGTGCATTCATGGGATTGGCGGGCTACTATCAGCGATTCATCACCGGATACTCAAGGATTGCTGCACCTATGACGAGATTACAATCGCCAAAGGTGCCATTCGTATTCGATGACGACGCATGCCGGTCATTCCAAGCACTTAAGACGGCTATGCTCATGGCACCCGTCCTCAACATCTATGACCCCACCCTGCCGACGAGAGTGACTACGGACTCTTCCGGCTATGGCAT